CCAATTGCATCTCCTTTTTTAGTTGAAAACAATTAGGATAGTAAAGAAAAACGTGGAATCAAATTCAAGGTTTGCAATTTTGAGAATTTTTTCAATTCAGCTCAAAATTGGTAAACTGATCATTAAGCACTGGCAATTGAAGTTTTAATTTTGTGGGTTTTTTTTTTTCTTTTCTCACAAACAAGAAATGAAGCTGCTTAAAAGGGAATTATGCCAATGAGCCAAGCACCATGCTGTTTAAAAATGAAACTAAAATCTGGTTTATAACAAGTTGGAGAAGAACTTTGAAAAAATTACCTATATTAATTATGATGTGTCTCTTAGTTTCCCACTGCTGCTATAATTAACTACCACAAACTTAGTGACTCAAAATAAGACAAATTCATCATCTAGAGGAGAATCACTCCTTTGATTTTCCCGGCTTCTGGAGCTGCCAGCATTCCTTGAAATATTCACTTGAGTCTCTGCTTCCATCACCACATTACCTACTCTTTCACTTTTATGGATCCTTATAATTACATTGGGTCCACTGAGAATTCAAGATACTCCCCATTGAGGATCCTTAACTTAATCAAATCCCTTTTACACAGTTCCTTTTTCTATGTAAAGTAACATGTTTACAGGTTCCAGAGATTAGGCGTGAATATCTTTACAGATGGGGAGCAATTATTCTGCCAACCATGCCTGAGGAGCATCTGCTGGCTAGCTGCAGGGGAGGTGTCCCACTGGGCAATCTGCACTCCAAGGCCATATCAGGGCAAGGGATGCCTCAGTGTCTTACAGCAGAGAGACAGACATTCAGCATGAGGGGAAAGACAGGCCTCAGAGTAGAGATACCAAATGTGACTATCACCCAGGCACTAGGGAAGAAGGGAGTCAACAGCCAGATCCAAGCTCTTCATGTGGGGGCCTGAGGGCTGCTGCTGATCTATGATTGAAAAAGTACAGAAATGAAAAGTAAGCTTTTAGAAAATTTTATAGCAGTTTGACAGATTAATTTTATGTCAATTGAATATTATCATTTAAATGTGGGTCTCTGTTTTGGAAACCTTTATTTCATTTCATCTTCCCAGTAATTATTTTTTACTGTGTCTTTCAAAAGTGTTAATCCGTGGCATATTGAAAATTAAAACAAAACAAAGCAAAAACAAAAACCTGTGGTTCATCACCTGGCTGATTTTTTTTAGGAAGCCCTATGTTACTCACAAAAGGGGTAAAAGATCCCCTGAGAGTATCCAAGAAGACAGAATAAGCTCTAAACATCTGCTAGGCTCACAGAGGCCCCACCAACTCATTACATACACCCTTAGTCCATTAAGGAACCCACCCCCTCAGCTTTAGAAAGGAGAGGATACTGCAGTTCCTTCTCCCCTAGGGCAGCCTTCCCCAAGGAGGGGTGAGCAGCTCACTTTTAAATCAGGTTTGGAGTTTTCATTATTATAAGACTATAAAATACTAGACATTTTAATTATTGAATCAGGAATATGCTATGTGGTTTAAAATGAACATAGGGCTTTTGCATTGCATAGCACAATAAGTGAGGTCTTCCTAAGTTTTCATGCAAGAATAAGTCCCACAGAACCATTTTAAAGGAACATTTGAAGATCAGAATGGAAATTATTTTATAGCTTCATTCCTCAAGTTGTGATTGTTCTTACTGATAATTACATAACTCTTAGAGACAGGTCATACTTTCTTAAGCAGCCACATGCAATGCTTTAAGGCAGGTACTATGTTGGTATCAGGCTAGGTACTTCTATACTGTGAGGGGGTTGCCCTGTCCTCTGCATTGTAGGGTATTGGACAGCATTCCTCACCTCTAATACCTAGCACTCTCACCCCAATGTGTAACCATCAAAACTGTCTCCAGAAATTGCCAAATGTATACTGGGTGGTAAAATTGACCCCAGTTAAGAACCATTGATACAGGGGAAGCAGTTTCTTCTTCCAGCCCTCCCTCCCCCACAATCAAGATTCAAAGTATCTGAAACTCCGTCATTCAACACAATCATTGCCCACTAAAGGCACACTCTTTCAATTCTCATGTGAGAAAGGACACTGAACTATTATCAGTCACTGATACATAAGTGTGAGGGTCATCAGATTTCTTTCTTCTACAGATTTACCAATTACTGATTCACTGATTATATGAAGCCCAGGTGAGAGTGAGGCATGAAAATCTGGAGGAAGACTACTAGGCCCTTCCATTTCCAAAACATCTCTTGAGCCCATCTTCTCCCCAGCTCCCAATACCAGGTCTATCAGTAACTCCACCTCTCATCTACATTAATGGCAATATTATTTAGTATGTTCTCCTGCATGGTTTTCATGGCCCTCAAACTCCCTCATATTCTTGGAATGATCTTTCTTTAAAAAGTCTTTAAACACCAGGCATTTACCCAGAGTAAAACAGCCAAACTGTTCTACAGGACATAATTTCCTAGCCTCCCCCCATACTGAATTATTTCTTCCCCAAGCCTCTGCCCTACTACTTCTTTCTCCTGTGCCCCTTCAGTTTATTAGAAAACTCCCACTCGACTTGCAGTCTCAACTCATGCACTCCAGTCTTGAAAACCCTTCGAGTCACTCAGCAATATTTAAGTGCTCCTTTTTCCATGTTGCCAGATAACAGTGAGCACAGTTTTATTGAAGCACTTACCTCTTTGATTTTTTGAATTATTTTCTTACTAGAGACCATGAGTTCACTGAAGGTAAAGACTGCATTCTGATTGCTTTCTTGGAGAAGTTCGGGACTCATCTGAATTCCTCTTTGTCTTATCCAGCCACATTCTCCAGCTTGCTTTCCACCTGGAGACCAGGTAGGCCTTCATTCAGTGCTAATAATGTCATGTTCTTTCCCACCTCCAACCTTCTGTGGGGTCTTCTCTCTCATATACTATGCTCTTCCTCTTTTCTTCCTTGTACTCTGTCCCTGGGAATCCTGCTGTACCTGTTAGTTAAATGTTACTGCTTCCAGGAACTTTCCCTGAATTTGCAGACCAAGAGAGGTTCGTCTGTTTTACTTTTCCATGATATATTGTGTTTCTTTAATACCATTTTGTATTTATTATAATTTAGTGTGACTTCTTTGCCACTGTACACAGGTGTAAAAGATGCATTATTATTTTAATATTCTAAACAAAATCTCACCAGCAGCGAAAAAAATCAAAATCAGTCATGTTATGGCAAGCTGTTAGAACACAGAACAATTTTGGAAGATTCTGTCATGTTAAGATTTGGGATAAGGGTCTCTGGTCTTCAATTCACTGTGGTCCACAGTTCCTGCTGAGCTTCTCATCATCCAGTTTGTGGTCCATTCCAAAACAGAAGGCTCTGCTGCTTCACACCAAGCTTTAGGGATCCTTCAGGCTGGGTGTCATGAAAACCAGAATTCTTTCCCAAGTGGCTCTCTGTAGCCACTTTCCTCTGAGGCTCTAATACTTCCCAGTGCCCCAGGATTGCAATTTCTACTTTAGCCTCCAAGCACCAGTTTCACCCATAACATTTGCAGGGGCCACCACAAGAGAAAAATGGAGGGTTATATAGCATATATCCAAATATTTTCAAAGTTACAAACCAAGTCAATGAGCTGTTAAATAAAAAGTGTTCTCTCATTCTATGGTCATAAATACACCTTTTATTTTATTAGAAGTTCAAATTCAAATTAATAATTCTTAGATCTGAGTCCCAGGAGCCAGAATGTAGTCTGAGAAAAGGGCTCAGGTTCCAGGTGGACACATTGCCTTGTCTCTTCATGCTGGCAGAATATAAGTGACCAAACGAAGGCTAGAGGGCCCTGTGAAACACGGGTCCAATACAGGAACCTCTCTTATCTTGGTCTGAAGGCAACTCCTCAGTACACAATAATAGGAATACCCCAAAATAAACTCTTGCTACATGCTAAACTAATTGAGAGTTTAAATTATCAATGCTAATTTAATGGATATGATGTGTGGAAGTCAAGCTAAACAGCCATCAGGATGTCGCTAAACTAACATACCAACTCACTGTTTCCCAAGTTTGAATGGGGCATATGTACAAGCACGTGTGTGTGTGTGCGTGTGTGTGTGTACACATGCCTGCACATATGTGCATAATATACCTCTTGGCACTAGAATTCTAAAAGTGCAACCACTTTTATCAATCAGAGTTCTTGGGTGTAAGTGAACTATTTATGGCCAATATAAGAAACAGAGGAATTAAGTAGAAGAATAATAAGAGAATCCACAAGTCAGGCTTGGAAAGTGAGCAGCGTGGAGGGTATCAACCATAGCAGAAAGGACCCTGTCCTTATAATGCTATTACTGAGATAAATTAACTCCCAACAATGTCTACTTTCTCATGTCCTAGGGAAATGCTCAAAAATAGATGAAAAGACAAAAAAAAAAAAAAAGACAATGCAAAATAATGTGAGTCTGTTCTACCAAAAAGAAATGAGACATGTAGAAACAGTCTTGAAAGGAACTAAAACAAAATGTTAACAGTCTCTTCTCTGGGTGATGAAGTCACAGGTAATTTTTATTTTATTTATGTGCATGAATTCCATCTGTAACTATAAAAAACAAATATTTAAAAATTACTTTTGCCAAGTCTAAAAGGATTTTTTTTCCTTTGAGAGTTTAAATTAAATGGACTTTCTCACAAAATTTGCAAAATTTTGTGACAAAGTCCATGTTCACAATATTCAAATCCTTCCTGATTTCCTAAAATTGAATTTTTCTAATTATGTGATGATCTAAGTTTCATATTATTTGAGGATTACTGATGCCATAAATATATTTAAAGCTCTTTCTTGGGTAAATAGGACATTAAGGAAATCACTATTCCAGCAAATTAATATTAGTAATGCCCCAATTCCCTGTTGTCAGTAATTAGTATAATCACCACTAGCTGGTGCTATTGGTAGACTGTACAGTAGTGTGTTACTCTGGATTAGACCATTTCAAATGAGTTCACCTTTTAGGAACAAAATTAGCTCTTTATTAAAATATCAACATAAATATTAATAAACTCACTTTTTATTAAAGAAGGCAAGATTAACAATAACAAAAGCCTCATAACACTATACTAAGTAACACCAGTCAAAAATGAAATAGAAACAGCAATTATAATACATTATTTTAAAATAGTAACATTAAGAGACTACATAACAAAACTTTTGAGATGTAGTCAAAGCTGTGCCCAGAGGTAAATTTATAGTCTTACGTTCCTATTATTAAATAAGAAATAAAAATAAATGAACTAAACCATCAATTACAAAGAAACATTCATAAATCAACAAAATATACCTATGAAAAATAAGTGAGGAATTAAAGATGAATAATTATATTGGTATATACAATAGGAAAAATAGAATTAATGAAATTTCTAAGTGTTGGTTTCTTAAAAAGACTGGAATTCTAATAAAAGAAAGGAAAATGCAACTAAAAGGATTAGGAATAAGAAAGAAGATATAATCTCAGATATAGAGAAAAATTTTTTTAATTTTAAGATAATTTTATGTACAAATCTGCTAACAACTTTTAAAATTCTATGAAAAATTCATAATTCTAAAATATAATTTTAAAATTGATAGTCAAGAAATAGTAGTTAACCTGCTTAAGACAAAAGCATAGAAGAAGTTTTTAAAGTTTTCATAGAATTATCTTTCACTCACCCACTCTGAAAAAGCTTGAGGCCTAAATAGTGTTATGGGTAAGTTCCTCCAAACCATCAAAGAACAGGCAATTCCTAACTATGTACTAATCTAGAACATAGAACACACTAGAAAAATCATTTTTTGAAGCTGACAAAGTACAATACAAAATGTACAATTATAGTCCAATTGTTTCCATGAGTATAAATGCAATAATCTCAAATTAAATGTAAAAAGTTGAATTCAACATTATATACTGAAAAAGGGAAAAAAATCCACCATGATGAATGAGGTTATAGCTCATGCAGAAATAAAACAATGTTAAGAAATCCATGACAATTTATCATGATAATAGGCCATAAGAGTAAAACCAGATGATGATCTCTATTTGCCTGGTTTAATATAATTCAACTTCCAATAAAATGGTTAGTATTCTTGAGCTAGGAAACCACTTCCTTAACCTGATAAAGACCTATATTTCAGCCCAACAGCTAATATCAAAAGCTGGTGAAATATTAATGGCATTCCTAAAAAGTAAGGAATAAGAACAAAGTTATCACCATCATTTATTTAGTATATGAGGTATAAATATTGTAAAGGAAGAGAGGAAAGTATCATTAGTTACATTTATGTATCATTAAGTATCATTAATTACAAATGATTGGCTATTTAGAAGAGAATCAAGAAGAAAGATTAATGAAAGGGTTGAGGAAAGTAGCCAAATACAAAAATCAATTACTTGACTCCAAAAGGTGTAATCAGGTTGGTTATAAAAAGGGGGGGGGGGATGATCCCACTTAAACAGCAACAAAGACATGAAATATCTAATAGTATAACTAATAAGAAGAAATATGCAGGGCATGAAAAAAAAACTACTGAAGAACATAAAAGATGTCTTTAGTAAACTTGACATGTGACAACTTCCTAAACAGGAAACACTATCACAAAGTTGGCAATTCTCCCCCAAATAAACTATAATGTTAAAGCAATTTTTTAAAAAGTCAATAGAATTCTTTTTTTTTTTTTTTTGTAATTTGACTAGAATGTAACTAAAGCTTATCTGGAAGAATAAATGCACAAATACAGCCAAAAGTATTTTGAAGAATAAAAGCAATATTTACTCCCAATGAAAAGTTAAACATCATAGTAAAACAATGGCAACATTAGAATAATATAGTTCAGGAATAGAGATACCAAAAAATAAACAATAAATCCAGAAACCACTCTAAGTATATGTAAGAATTTAATATTTGACAAATGAGAAATATTCAAAACAGTAGAAAAGAGTTTTCAATAAATGATAATGCAACAACTAAATAAATATTTTGACCCTTAATTACAACTATATCAAAAATAAATTCCATTTGGAATAAAGATTTGAATCTAAAAAACTAAAAGGAAACATAGACATATATTTATATAACATTGGCACTGAGAAGACCTTTTAAAACATATCACCAAAAGAATAATTTTTAAAAAGATTTATCTAAATGGAAAAATGCAGTATTTCTGAATATCAAATACATCATGGATTAAATTTTATATATCTGAGAAGGAGCAAAATGTCTGTAGCATACAGAAGAAACAAATGGTTAGTGGTTTTAATATAAAAAGAGCTCTTACTAATCAATAAAAAATAAACCCTTCCAAAAATTAGCTTATGCATTCATTCATTCCTTAAACAGGTATTTATTGTACATTTAATACATGCCCAATATTGTGTTAGGGGATGAGAAAACAATATTGAAAGATGTAGACATCTGCACACAAGTCTCTTTCCTCAAACATTCTAGTAGGGAAAATAGACACCCTGCCCCCAAGAAAATGTAAATAAATAAATAAGGTTACAAATAAAGAACTAAAATAGCAAATGGGAAAAGAAAAAGGTGGATACTATTTTCAATAGAGTGCTCCGGCCAGGCCTTTCTTAAAATATTGTATGAGTACTCATCTGAAGGATATGTTTTGGTGGGGGAAAAAGTGGCTGTGAAGAACAGCATGAGCAGAGAGATCAGCATTTACTAAGCCACTGAGAAGGAGAAAGGATCCTGGCATGTTGAAGGAACGAGTGTGGATGATCATGAGCAATAAGGAGAAGATTACAGATGGGATTGGAGACATAGGTATGGATCAGATTGTGTAGGGCTATGTTAACCATGATATGGGATTGATTTTATCCTTTAAGCAACAATTTACTTGATTCAATTTAAAATATAGGTCAAAGCTATGACTTAATCAAAAATCTAATGAAGTGGGTCAAGAGTAAATGATCCCATAAGACTGGCTATTATAGTAGTTAGGTGAGAAAAAATATTGATCAGGACTAAGAGATGGCACTGAATTTGAAAAGAAGTAGATAAGTTTACCAATTAGATATGTGAGTCTAGAACAGAGATAAAAGGTCTAGGTGGGAAACATAAATTTGAAACTCATCTTGGCATAAAGATGGTACTTAAGTCTATGAAAGTTGGTAAGATTCCTGGGAAAGAATACAAGAAGAAGAGAGAAACCAGAAAGGAGTCAGCCCTAACTTTTCAAAATTAGAAGATGGGAGCAGAAAACTGGGGGGTGATTAGTGATACAGAAGGAAAACCAAGAGAGAATAAGGGCTTAGATATGGGAAAAAAAAAAAAAGAACATTCACAGAAGCTCTTTTGTTTGGGTGACCCTAACAAGGGCATGGTCAGTAGTAGTACTGGGAAGGCAGCATCCTTGTGGACTGAAGAGCAAATAGAAGGGCTGGGGGTTGTGGCTCAGCGGTACAGCACTTGCCTAGCACATGCAAAGCCCTGGGTTGGATCCTCAGCACCACAAAAAAATAAATAAATAAAATAAAGGTATTGTGTCCAACTACAACTAAAAAAAATTTAAAAAGCAAATAGAAGATTAGGAAACACAGACAATAGATAATGACAATCTCTCAAAGAAGTGTGGTTATAAAGAAGAGCTGAGAAATGGCTATAGATGATGAAGATGTACATAAGGAAAGATTTATTTAAAATGAAGGACACTGGAGCATGTGTGCAAGCTGATGAGAATGATCCACTGAGGACAGGGAACTGATGATGCAGAACAGAGAAAGGGAAAACCTAAAGAGCAAGTTCTTGAAAAGTCCAGAGGGAGTGGTATCCTGGTATCCTGAGCACAGGAGGAGGAGCCGTCTTTTGAAGCTTCCTCCACAGTTATAAAAAGGAGGAACTGGTTCCCAAGAAAGCTGGGTTGGAGGGTCTTGTGGTGGGAAGATGAGGAAATTTGTATGTAATAGCTCCCACTTTCTCAGAAAAAGATAAAACGGGGAGGAGGAGGAGATCAAAACATTTTGAGGAGATGAAAATATAAACAGTAGTTTCAGAAGTGGGAAACAGACTATGTTAGGAACAACACTACCAATTTGAGGTTTGAGAAAATGGATTGAAAATAAAACTAGTTCACTGAGTTTTGTGATTTTCTTAAAAAAAAAAAAAAAGTGCTGAGTCGTCCTACTCAGGTCCAGGCAAAGCAGATGGTAAGTAAGGTTCATCTGGGGTTGGGATTTTGTCCGGAAAATAACTTGGAGGAAACTGAGGTTCAATAGTGCTGAGACCACTGCATTTCAAGGACAGTGGCTATGATGATGGGCCATGAAATCTAGGCTAGACAAGGACATGCATCTAAGGCAAGGGCTGATTAATAATGGAACGTATGAGGTTAATGAACTAGCTATCAGTGAGCAAAGAATCCAGGATAGGAAATAGGTGATCAGAGTGGAATGTCTGACAATGTGTTAGTTCAGGTCATAGAAGCAGACACCACGACAGGGTTCAAGGTGCAAAAGTTCTATTAAGGGGTTACCCTGTGAAGGATAAAGGGAAAGAAGCAGGAGGGTGAGGGGAAGAAAGGCTCATACCAAAAGGCAGTCTGAGCCATGTATTAAAGGAGAGAGGGGGATTGGGCAGGAAAAGCCTCAGACTGCATGCAGCACAGTTCTAAGAAAGTTCCAGTCAGGTGTTGAGGTGTACCCAAGGCAAAACTGCTCATCAGAAGAGTCCTGCATCTCACATGAATGGGCCATGACCAACGTTCTAATTATGCTATAACAAGGAATAGCACAGGAGAAGCACCACCTCCATGGCAACTCTGGTGGATCCCCTGAACAGGCAGGGGGAGCCACCAATCAAGAAAGCTATCTGGGGCAAGAGACCTGAAAGGTGCATTCCCTTGGTCTCCACAGAGAAAATGCTAAGGAAGATGTAGTTTCTAAGGATGACAAAGTTAGAATCATGGGGGCAAGGGCTGTTTCTGAAGGGAAGAAATAGTCTTGGGAGATGAAGTTATAGGAAGGTGGCGGGGAGGACTGAAAGCTAGAGTTCAAATTGTGTCAAACACCCCACAGTCGCTAGGGATTTAGAACGTTATTAAAACAATCTTCTAGAGGACTGCAGCAGGAGCGGGGGATGGTTGGCTGATGAAAGGGCTTGAGGTGGAGAAGACTGAGTGGGGTTGAGAAGACGACCTTGCAGAACTAATAACGAAAGAAAATGACTATGAATAGGAAGTACATGAATTACCAGCAGGACGGAAAAGGAATGTGTGGTGAGATTCTCCGAGGAGCTGGATTCTGGCAGGCAAGCGGGAAGGAGTAAGGTGATGACTAGCACCGGGGCCGCCCCTCCCGGCCCGGCCCTAAGGCACGTGGTCCTGAGGAGCTGGGGCAAAGGACTCTGGGGTAGACCCGGCGGGGCGAGGGGTGACGCGAGGTCCGAGGCAGGCTGGGGATCGCGGGCTGGCTGGCGGCTGCGCTGGGCGGCGTCGGCGGGTCGGCGGCGCTCAGGGGGCGGAGGGCCTGCCGAGGCCGCGCGCGTGCTGGCGCTCCCGGGCGGCGCCGCCGCGGAACTTGGCTCGGCAGCTGGCGGCGGCCTGGCGTGTGGTGACGGCGCCTGCCGGCGGGCGCAGTGCTGCGGCGCTGCGGGGCGACGGCTTCGCCAGGCTTCGGCCGGCGGGCACGGGCAGCAGCGGACCCCAGGGAGGAAAGACAAAGACACGCCGGTTAGAAACGCGGAGGAAACCGCCGGCGCCTCGCAGCTCAGCGGGAGTGGAAACCCTGGCGGGCGGCGAGGTGCAGCCGTCGCCCTCAGGTGTGCCCAAGTGACGGAGCGGTGGAGGGCGGCACCCCGGGGTCTCCCACGACACTCCCACCGAATGTGAGGACTCATCCGGACCCCTAGAGCTGTGCCCTCGGCCCAGGAAGTCCCGAGCGAGCGTCCCCTGCGGAGTCAACGGGGAGCGCGCACGAGTTCAAACGAGGCGCCCAGTGCATCGCTGCAAGAGCAGAAGGAAGGCGAAACCGAGAGGAAGGGGATCAAAAAATGCAAAGTGTTCAGCCAACTAAAAGGCCTTAGTTTCTTCATAGAGTGGATACTAACCTGCTGTTAAACTAATGCTGTGAAATAATGCCCAATGATACGGGGAAACATACTAAACGTGACGGGAAAGCGTTTCATCTCCCTCTGTTGTGTGTGGATGTGTGCATCTATGTGTTTATACATGCAACACACATGTATAAAACAATGGAGAAAAACAAACCAAAATATTAAAACAGTCATCTCCAGGCCGCAGGTGATCTTCTAATTTATGTCTCCCAATTTTTATACAATAGGTTCATTTTATCTATATACTAAATAAGGAATTTTTCTCCATTCTTATATACCCATTGACTTTATCCCAATTAAAATTTGTGAAAATAGTATTTTTATGTTGTATACAGAAATGGTGGACAGTAAAAGATTTTCAAGAATGGATGGTCCACAGGGCATGGTAGCACACCCCAGTAATCCCAGCGACTCCGGAGGCTAAGACAGGGACAGGAGGGAGGATCAGTTCCAGACAGTCTTAGCAACTTAGGGAGGCCCTAAGCAATTTAGCCAGACCCTGTCTCAAGATAAAAATACAAAGGGCCCGGGAAGTGCCTCAGTGGTAAAGCACCCCTGGATTCAATCCTCAGTACCAAAAGAAAAAAGAAAAACCCACCATAGTCATGTACCTTCCTCAAAAGTTCCTAATAAATCAACATTACAGAGTAGTTTATCCCTTAATAGTTAACACAATTAAACCAGTATCTTTTATGAAGCCATACGTTTACTCTATTATTGTCTCTATTACTTTCTACTTTATTTTTCTGTAAAAAAAAAAAAATGTTTCTGGACTTTTGAAAGATGTAATTTGATTTGTAATTTCCACAGACTTGGGAAAACAGTTTACTAAAAACAGAAAATTTTACCATATTTTGGAACGTGTTTTAGATAATACCAATGTTTTATAGTAATTCAATAATTTTCTCTTTACTCTATTTGAAAGAATTCAATGGAAGCAATAGTAAAATGTTACAATGAACTTGGGCCTGAACTTAATTCTCCTCTTTCAAGCATAATGAATTTAAATTTTAAGTTATTAAAACCTAGGGAATCTGTTTTGCTAAACTTTATTCCAGGAAAATGCCTAAAGGGAATAACAACAACATAGGGGGTTTAATAGAAAACACATAAGTTCCAAAGATACTTTAAGTCAAAGTTACCTCAAAATTGTCAGACTAATTTTATTTAATGATGAGCAAATAAAAAATTAGATGTTTATGGGAATGCTACTTTGCTGCTTAAATAGATGATCAACTAATTAATCATGATGACCTGCAAGTTTCTTTCCCTCTAAATGTACTGGATAGAATTATCATGTCTGGAGGAATACTTTAATAAAAATTATCAGAAATAAAATTTACAAAGAGAATAATCCTAAAGAGGCCAATAGTTTGTATTAATTATTCCTGGAAAAATTAAGGTTGTAAGAGTTTGTTATAAGCCTTATCTCTCAAAAACCTTACTATTCACTAAATGACTTTAAAACAGGATTAAATATAGATAAAACCAAGAAGCATTTATTAGCAGTACTACAGTTCTGTTTTCATGATCATACAGTGATTCCAACTTAATTCAACATTTTTGGAATGCCTGTCTTGTTTTGACACTAAGCCCAAACACTAAGAACAAAAAAGATATCACAAGGTTCCTACCTTTGAGAAGCACTACCTAGAATAGTATTTTCAGATCATTAGGGTGACTCACACCTGGGAGCTAACCTGAATCCCCATATCACCCTGTGATTCTACCAAAGCTTTTCTTCCCATACAGATGAATTTTCTCATTTCCTGTCATTCCTTTGCTCAAATTCACCCAGAGCATCCCACTGACACCACACTAGCTAAATCAATTGTTGTTAGTTAAGCTTTGAGGGGAACCAAGGACCAGCCTGAGATTCTGACTAAAATGTGGCCTTTATCCTTCAAAACCATGTACAGAAATGCTCTGGAAACTAATTTCTTGAACATAATCAATATATAAAAAGCAAAACTTACAAGGAATTATGCTGGGCATAATCCTCCCTTACACTGTTATTTTTATGAAAGAAAAATTACCTCTTGGAAAAAGTACATAATTTAAAAAAATTCTAACTTCTCAGTAGCAAATCTCAATGATATAGCTAAAATGAGATAAAACTGTGATATATATAACCTTTGACAGAGGGAACACTTACTTCATCTTTGATAATCAATTGTGACTTTTCTCCCCAAGGAAACAAGTGTTGAAATCCTTAGTTCACAAAGGTAAATCTGTAATCTAGTTCTATGAACTAAAACAGAATTCCATATAATCCTTTGCCAGATTAAAGTAGCCTGTATAATGGAACACCAAATTCCTTCAAAAATTTCAACTTATCAACTCAGCCTTCAAGTTCAAATAAGACTTCTGGAAAGTCAGCAAATTTCTGACTAGTAGAGGAAAACATCATATTCTATTCCAATTTCCTGGCAATACCTCTTGGAAGGATGGTGACATCTGCTGATACAAAAAGTAATGAGGCCCAATGACATGCTCGGGCCGTTCCTCTTCAAGCAGCAAAGCCATGCTGTGTACCTGACATTCCAGGTGTATCATCTGCCCTGAGTGCTAATATCACCCCCCACCTGAATATTTTCAGTAAGAGCAAGAATGAGAGAGTACTTTGAAATTTTGACAGTCTTCAGCTTCCAAAAAGTATTCAAAAACAGATTTGATAACATCAGAAAGCACATAGAAACATGAAGCTTTATGTACTAAGAGGCATCTGGTAAGTTATGAAGAGCCCTAACTCAATTTTCTTTCAGGGAACACATTTAAGAACTTTTGGGATAAATTATTTGATCCTCCATTCCCCTGACATATGCTATTTCTCATTTGTATGCTTTCATTCTTGGCATTTCACCCATTAAAAAATGTTTTCTCCCTTTCTTATATATTCAAATGTTGTCTATCTCTCAAGACCAAGACCAAAGCCAGTCTCTTTAATTTTCCCTAATTACTGCAGTCTGAAATAATCTATCCCTCTTCTGAAAGCTTATAATGGTTCTTCTTGGACTTTGCTCAAAGTATGGTTTCTGAGACCACTAGCTTTAAAAATGCCCCCATGATCTGTATTTTCACAAACACAGAAAGAACTGATGTCAATTTGTCCACTGTTTTCCCAAATCTATTTTGCTGCTCTTAAAAGGATAGTTCATTCTCCAGGTGGATGAAGAGAAGGCTAACTGTCTATTGTTGCCAAGATGACTAGACTGAATCATTTTCACGGAAAAAGTTTTGATTTGTCAATAATGTACTTATCAGATCTGCAGTTACTGTACTACCTCCACCCGTGGAATTTCAATCATTACCTTCCAATGCCATGGCAAACTTTCTAAGATGCTGCTACCATTCTCAAACTAACTTTCCACCCTGAGAATTTCAGCAGAGCCTGTAAAGAAGGTAAACAGTGAGACAGAAAAACTCACAACTAACATCATCTACTCAAATAAGATACAAAATCAAATGTTTCTGGAGGCAAGCAGTAACTTCAAGATCATATCCTACAACAGACACACTGCAGATGGAAGAACTATGGGAAATGGAAAATAGTGTAAATGAGGACCAAAAAATAAAATAGACCTCAAATCATGCAGAGCCAAAAAAATATGGTCCCAATTAGCTCACAGATTCCACATTGAGGATAAATGAATTAAGAAAGTAAACAAAAATAAAAATTAAAAGCATAAAAATAATTCAAAATGTAAAAGATGAGATGGGTGGATGTCTACAGATATGGTCCAAAAGACTGTCTTTGACATTACAAGTAACAACATGAGGTAGACTGAGTACCAGTTATACTTAATTAATAAGAGTTATAATCTATTAGCTGTATGTTAGGCATTGGGCTAAATGTTTTACATACAGTAGATCTATCTTATAAATAAAATCAATTTTGTTAAAAACTCTGAAAAAAAATGTGTTAAAGACAATAAGTTACACCTCTATTAGAAATCAGGAAAGCAAAAGATGGTGAGTTATCTGCAGCCTGATCTAGTAGAAAGAATGCTCTGAAAATTTAACATATGGTCCAAGTGGCAATTGTATTTCTATGGGAAGAGGGATGTATCACATTGAGATCTGATTCAATGCTCGTCATGCAATCTTCCAGATATATTTTTCTGTAGATTTGCCTATCGGGAAAAAATGAACTGACCCACAAACATGAGAAGCTATTGTTCCTGAAACTTCTCATTGCAAATTAAAGAACTGGCATGGTGGAATTTATTCATCAGTATCTATGAGGAAGTGACATGGTCCTTTGGCACCCAGTCACCTCTAGATGAACCAATAATCAGGGACATCCTTAGAAAATAGTGGCCATGCTGGGCATCTGTCTCAGTACAATCTTCACGAGCTCTGAAACAAATTATACCCGACTTGCAGTATTGTGCTTTCAGTATAATCATTTCAACATCTGATTGTTTACTGAGAGTGTAGAGTTTGCCATGTCCTTTGGTTTGCTTTGAGTCTTTTTTTTTTTCCTGCTATAAGTACACATTTCTTATACACATTGTCCATTGTCCTATTTAATTATCCATATTTGGACAATAAAACA